TGTGGTACTAAGGATTGAACCCTAACCCAGGGTCTTGTGCATGTGAGGCAAGCACTCTAACAACTGAGCTATATCCACAGCTCCACAAGCCTGCTTTTAGTAATTTGTGTTTCCTCCTTTTTTTTTTTAGTCAGTCTAGTTAAAGATTCATCCATTTTGTTTATTCTTTCAAGGAACAATATTGTTTTCATTGATTTTCCTATTATTTGTCTATTATATATTTCATTTATTTATTCTCTAATTTTTCTTATTATTTTCTGCTTATTTGGGTTTAGTTTCCTAAGGGAGAAGGTTAGGTCATTGACCTGAGATCTTTGTAGTTTTTGAATATGTGTTTTAAGCTATAAATTTCCTTAAAGACTAGTTTAGTTTCATTCAATAAGTTCTTATATGTTATGTTTTACTTTCATTCATATAAAACTATATTCTAATTTCTCTTGTGATTTTTTCTCTGATCTATTTCCTTTTCAAGAGTGTGTTCTTGGGCTGGGATTGTAGGTCAGTGGTAGAGTGCTTGCCTTGTATGCTTGAGGCCCTGGGTTTGGTCCCCAGCACCACATAAAAAAATAGATATTGTTCCGGGCTGGGGATATGACTCAAGTGGTAGTGCACTCGCCTGGCATGCTTGCGGCCAGGGTTTGATCCTCAGCACCACATACAAATAAATATGTTGTGTCTGTGGAAAACTAAAAAAATAAATATTAAAAATTCCCTCTCTCTTAAAAAAAAAGATATTGTGCCCATCTACAACTAAAAAAAATTAAAAAGAGTGTATTATTTAATTTCTACATATTTAGGAATTTTCAAATTTTCCTTCTCTGATTTAATTTTCACTTTATTCCATTATTGTCAAAGAATATATGTGTAATCTCAATTCTTTAAAATTTATCAGGGCTTTTTTATGGCTTGATGTGTTTTATTTTGAAGAATTTTTATGTGAACTTGAGATGGATATATATGTTGCTATTGTTGAGTAGTCTATCATTATCTGTTAAGTTTATTTAATTTACAGTGCTGCTTAAGTCTTGTATATCCTTGTTAATTGTCTAGCAAGATGTTCTGTCCATTAGCAAAAATATTGAAGTCTCCAATTATTATTGTCGAATTGTCTATTACTCTTTTCATTTGAGTTACTTCATATATCCCAGGCTATATATTTTTAATTACTATGTTTCCATGATCAACTGTTCATTTTATCATAATATAGCATTCTCTGTCTTTAATAGCAATTTTATCTAAAATTTATTTTCTCTGATATTAGTATAGCCTCTTTAATTCTCTCTCCTTCTCTATTTTCTTTCAAGATGGGGTTTTGCTATGTTGTCTAGACTGGCCTCGAGCTCCTGGGCTCAAGTAAAACTCCTATCTTAAGACTCCCAAGGAGCTGGGACTACAGGTATGTGCCACCAGGCCCAACAAATTACTGAGTCTGTTTAGATTCTTTTAATGGGATGGGAAATTGAACCCAAAGCCTCATACATGTTAAGCATGTGTTCTACCACTGAGCTATATCAGTCCTCTAGCTCTCTTGTTTGAAGCTTGCATGGAATATCTTTTAGCTTCCTTTTTGTTTCAATCTATTTGTGGTTTTTAATGGTTTTTAATCCATTTTACCAATAACTGCCTTTTAAAAAAATATTTTGTTTTTTTAGTTGTAGTTGGACATAATTTTATTTTTTAATTTTATTTTTATGTGGTGCTGAGGATCAAACCTAGTGCCCTGCACACATTAGGGGAGTGCTTTACTGCAGAGCTACAACCCCAGCCCCCAATAACTGCCTTTTTATTGTAGCATTCAATATATTTACATTTAATGATCATTAAGGTTGAATTACATCTGCTACTTTTCAGTTTTCTTAATGTCTTATGAAATTTTGACAATTTCCTTCAGTCCTCCATTTCTGTCTTAATTTGTGTTACATAGATATTTTCTTGTGCACCATTTCAACTCATGTGTTGTATATATATATATATATATATATATATATATATATATATATATATACACACCTTTATTTTATTTCTTTATTTATATATGGTGCTGAGGATCGAACTCAGGGCCTCACATGTGCTAGGTTAGTGCTCTACCACTGAGTCACAACCCCAGGCCTCATGTGTTGTTTTCTTTTCTTTGGTTTTTGAGTTATTTCCTTTGTAGTTTCCTTGTAAATTTCAACTAATGTCTTAACTTAAAACATTAGTATCAACCAAAAATTGAAAATGGAAAATTTATAGAGACTGATAATAATAAGAGATAAAGAGAATGGCTGCCTGAATTAGAATAGATGTGATGCAGGAAAAAGTAGTTAAATTTTTAAAAAAGGAAAAATATAGTAATCATAAAATTTGGTGATTATGTATGATGGTATTTGTAGATAAATATATTAAAGGTTCAACTTAGATGGATACTCACACTTATTGTGTGAATGATACAGTGATCATGTATCATTCAAATTCAATCACTTTTAAGAAGAGTCAAGTCTGTGGTTCATAGGAGGTAAAACAACATGTGTGTCAAGGAGCTTGCATTCAAGGTCAATGCCCTAAAGACAAAAATAAATAAAGTACCAGCAATAAGTTAACAGAGCATAATTTTGTCTGTGGAATCAGATTCATTGTGTTTAATTCTGTTCTGTAGCAAACTAGCAGTTTATTCATAGGCAAAATTTTTTACTATTTTTTTTTAGGTATGGGGGATTGAACTCAGGGGCACTTAATCACTGAGCCATATTTCCAGCCTATATACACACACGCGCACACACACACACACACACAATACTATATATATATATATATATACACACACACACATACATACTTATATATACAAAGTAGTATATACTAATATATACTATATGTTACATATATAATATATATATATTACAATATAATACTATATATATAGTGCCTGGCACATAGAAAATTCTCAAGAAATTTGAATGTCATTAAATACTGAATCCATATAGAATAAGTAAGATACTTAAAAACTCTAAGAAAATTGAGGTTGACAAAAACTAGAATAGCCAGATGTACCTTCAAAGGGTACATGAATATAAGCTGAACTTTGAAATGTATTTATATTTCACCTTCTTTTACGAGACAGAACAACTACACAAAACAAATTAGAATAATAACACTTGTGACATAACTATGTACCAGACACATAAATTGCATAAATTATCTTGCCTCTTTGAATGTATAAAACATGTGTTGTACAGTTTAAAAAACTGTAGATCAGATAAATTAGGACAAACAACTTCTAAGCAGAGAGATGTGTATTCAAAATCAGGTCTGTCTGACTCTAAAGCCTGTATTTGGAACCACTACAGTATATTGACTGTCAAGAAGAAAAATAAATAAATCCAGAAAACTGAATTAAAACCATATTGGCATCAGGTGAAAAAGAATTTTAAATAGGTGGTTATGGGAGAAACTTTATAAGCTTCTCTAATTTCTGGGGGAAAATAAAATCAGAAATATTTTCCCCTTTTAAATGAAAATCAGTCAAATTAGCAAAAGGCTTAGCAGGAAGATTTTGAAAGCTAATGAAAGGGTTTAACATGAATGCATTCCTTTGCACTGATTGAACTTACTGTTTTCAAGTTTCTGACACTCAAGGAAATGAAATTAGGAATTCTGAGATGACGTAGTTTGTTCTATTAAAATACATGTTTTGTAGTAGTTTTGAATTTTTGAAACATTGTTTATGAAAATTCATAAGCCATGAACAGTGGTTATTCTGAACATTAGTAATGTTTTTTAAATTGAATCAGTTGGATAATTTATTTCATAATTATTATTTTGGAAGTAAGTTTATTAAGCTTTTCTTAAGAATCCATTGTGGTAAAAACAAAAACAAAAACTATTAAAGCTTAACTTTTCATTATGGCATTAAGAGAACTGTCACACTTTCCCGACTTCATAAGTTTTTATTTTTTAAGCATAGAATCTTTAGCCTTTTTCTGAAATATGAATACAATGCAATGTTTTGACACAGTTTTTGTTTGGTTTTACTAGAAATTTTTTTTCCATGTGGTCAAGACAAGAGAAATAAATGAGTATAAATCAAAACTACAGATTATAGTTCAGTGATAAAAGTTAGGCTACAAGCTTTCTGTGAATTTATTCATGTTCAAAGTAGAAAAAACATTTAATTTTTTAAAAATTACATGATTCACAATATTCATGGAGAGACTGGTTCTCAAATAAAACACAATCTTTGCTGGCATAAATAGTGTTTTAAGGAAGTGATTTTCAAAGAGCGGTCCCTGAATCATTTGGTAACTAATTAGAAATGCAAATTCATGGGGCCCAACCCAGATCTATTGAATCAGAAACTATAGGTGTGATAGACCTCTAGATGATTCTGAGGCTTAAATTCGAGAACCGTGGTGTTGAGGTGGACATGGTAGACTTTATTGAATTTATTTGTGACAAGATAAAAGTTATTTTTGAGCCTGATTAAAGATTGAATCCAAAATTCTGGAGATCTATTGCATAGCATAATTATATACTTAATAAAAATGTACAGTATACTTGACAATTGCTAAGTGTTCTCAAATAAAATGATTTGTATTTGAGGTGATTGACATGTTAATTAGCTTGGTTTCAACATTCCTCAATGTATACACATATCAAAACATTACATTGCACAACATAAATATCCAAATTTTGTCATTTGCCCTTTGAAAAAATTAAGACTAAATTACAATTCTCTACATTATACTTGATCTTCCAGCTAGACAAAATTTTATATATCTAGATTTGACATTGTGATGTTCTTGAAAAGTGCATTTTTGGAATTTCACATGGGATGTATTTCTGCAGAATAATTTGTCATTACACATCAACAGCCTAGCAATTCCACTTTTAATAACTTATTCAAAGGGAACAGTTGTTCAAATGTACAAAAATGAGTATATAAGAATGTTTAGGGCTGGGGCTGTAGCTCAGTGATAGAGTGCTTGCCTAGCATGGGTGAGGCACTGAATTTGATCCTTAGCTTCACATAAAAATAAATAAATAAAATAAAGGTATTGTGTCCATCTACAACTAAATACATCTATTTCTATCTATAAAAAGAATATTTACAATTTTTTGTGTGGCACTAGGGATTGAACCTAGGGACACTCAACACTGATCTACCTCATGAGCCCTTTTTATTTTTCTCCCTACATTGCCTATACTGGCCTCTGGCCTTGAACCTTTAATCCTCCTATCTTACCCTCCTGAGTTTTTGGATTGCAGCCTTGTACCACCAGGCCCAGTAGGATGTTTACCATTATTTTCACTATTGTTTCTGATAGTGATAAAATGGGAATCTACCTCAATGTCTACTAGTTTAATAAATCATGGTATTATAATTCTGGTGGAATTTTAATTGTTCATTAAAATGATTACTTAGATGCTGATATGGAGAGATATTTATATTAATTATGATTGAATAAATAAAGCTTTATAAAAAGATGTGCATATAAATCAAATTTGGTATGTATATGGATTTATATACATACTAGAAAAATTAAATTCGAGAGGTTATGCCTCAAAATGTTAACAATGTAAAATCTGGGTTGGGGGCTGGGGCTGCAGCTCAGTAGCAGAGCACTTGCCTAGCACGTGTGAGGTGCTGGGTTCGATCCTTAGCACAACATAAAAAAAATTAAACAAATAAAGGCATGCTGTCTATCGACAACTACATTTTTTAAAAATCTGGGGTTTTTTTTGTGTGTGTGTGTAATAGACTACATGGGAGTCTCAGGTTGAAATATAGTTTATATTAATAAAATTTGTTGTTTTTAATCTCTTTCTAATGTGAGACATTTCTTGTGAGAAGAAACAATAAAAGTTTAAAAACAAAATAATCTAAGATTCTAAGAAGCCTTCTTACACAATCTTATCATTAGGGAATAGAAATATTCATTTTCAAAATACTGTATTTGTCCTAGAATATTTGGAAGGAACTAATCCCTCTTGCTGTAACAGTTCACTGTCAAGGTTAGTGGTCTAAAATCTGGCATTGGTTTGTTTCTGAACATTTGTATTATTATTAGATAATTACAAAAATATGGTTTTCATCTGAGAAGTTCCTGGAAAAGTAGAAATTGCTCTGTAGTGGGAGGCAAGAGATCCTGGTTCAGCCTTTGCCACTAATTTTTTTTATGTGAATTTGAACATTTCAGTCTCCTTTTTTTCTGGGCTTGGTTTCCTCATATAAAAGTTACTGAATCAGAAGATCTTAATGGTCTTTAACAACTTGAATATTTTAAAAATCCATAATGTATCTAGAAGCCAAGCTGTCTCTATAGAAGTATATGAGGCAGTATAGAAACTGAGAAAAATAAAATAAATGTAAACTCTCTAAAATACTCTTTAAAAATTCTGTTTCTGAAGTTACACAGTATGCTTCTTGGTACTACTCTCCCTTTATTTCTCCCTTAATGAAATTTTAAAACAAATTCTATTAAATGTCAAAAGATATTTGAACGTTGGTATACTTATGACACCTGGTGGTCAAGTCAAACATCACAACTAATTTTAATCCCCCAGACACTTATTCCCTTTCACTGATTATTTTCCTCTGAGACAGTTTCTGTCTCCCAGATTCATCCAACTATTATACAATTATTCACTCAACAAATAATTAGTTGACCTATAATGTACTCAAGACACTTATAATGTACTCAAGATACTTTACTTTGGAGGCCAGAAAAAAGTAAGAGAATGAGTCTTCAATATGTAGAAGATTGCTATCTTTTTAGGGCAATAAAATAGACCCCATGAAAAAGTAAGTCACCACATCATGTTGGATGTATTAAAAATTCATTCTTCCTAAAAGAAATAATCAGAGCTGTGGATACTGTAATGCCAGTGACTTGTGGTTTGGAGAGTTCAGGAAAGTCTTCATGGAAAAAGTGAGCCTTGCCTTTCTTGGGGCCTAGGTTTCCTCATCCATAAAATAGCAATAATATATTATTATTTCAAAGGATTTCTGTCAGAGATTAATAGAGTGTATATAAAATACTTATAATAGCACCTGGCCAAAAATAAGCATTTGGTAATCACTAATCATTTTTGTAACAAAACCAAAGATAAATTTCTTAATTTTAGTTCAAGACTAGTTCTTGTCCAATTGTATGACTTTTTCAAATTTACAGTGAACATACAGAAAACAATATGAATTATTTTAGTTAGTCCAATGGATAAACCACCCAGTTTAATATTTATAGTTTACTAAACTAATTGAGCAATTCAGCAACAGAGTCAACTCAGTGAAAAATAATAAAAGTAGTTGTTTGCCTGAATCACCTGGTTGTTTTATTTCAGTGAACTGTCAGTCAAGTAAATAAAGGCATCAAATAGGTTGTTTGGCACTGTATGTGCTGTATATAATTAAATGCATTTTTACATTTTTAATTGGTTGTGTTTAAGGTTGAATAAACACACTTAGATCATATATTGTTTTACAAGTTTATATTTCAAGAATTGTTGAAAATGTTTATTTACAATTGCACTTGAGTGTTAGGTAGTTAATGTTAAAGCTATCTAATTTTTCCTTTAATTCCATAAAATGTCTAGCAAAATAACTGCCTCTGCAGGCAATTAAAAAGCTCAAAGCAGTATTGAAATCTCAATTACCTTTTGTTTCTACCATCAGATGTATAAATAATATTTTCCTAAAAAATACCAACCATTTGGTAATTTAACTTTAATTTTCAAAAGTAAAGTAAGCTACATACTGTAATGGCTTTTGGCCAAAAGCAATAACATTCTGACATAAAGCAAAACCAAGAACAAGGACAATGTCATTCGAGGAATGAGAGTTTAACCTGGATAAGGAAGATTTAAGAGAGGACATGATCCCTATCTTTAGATGTTTGGAGAGCTTGTGTGTGTAACAGGGAATAGACTTTTATTTTATTTGGCCTTGACCGACCTAACTAGGTTGAAATGACAGAGGAATAGATTTTGACTCATTAAAGGGAAGAAATTTCTAACAATTATGATCATTAAAAATGCAATAATTCACATTAATAACTTTTTACTGGAGTTGCCCTGAGAGATGAAGGATACATAGCCCTTTTTTGCTGTATCTACAGCAAAAAATCCTTCAGGTATTTGCCTCAAATGGTGACAATATTAGTCTCAATAAACATGAATGTCTGAGCTACCATAAAACTGTTAATAAACGTAGAACTTTAATTACAGGAGCTTCTGAAAAGTGCTACATCATACAAATAAGACTAACTTTTCACTCAAATTCTGAGAGGCAAAAGTTACCTGAGTTGTACTGTCATTCCAAGCTCCTATCCACCCAAGATTTGGTAACCTTTTCAGCTCTTACCAAGGCCCCTATCCCATGTCTCATTTACAAAGGTTCATAGACTCACCTTACCATCATCTAATCCTTCATAAAGGAGCACTAAAAAAATGAATTAAGTTTTCTTTCTCCCAGGGTTGGTAATAGAGAACTCAGTTAAATTTTAAACTTTGGATATGCAGATGGAGATGACTGAAAAACTGAAATGTGTAACCTCAAAAGAGTGTTGGAATGTATGTCCAGGGGCTGTTTTGCAATGAGGTCTTGCCTGTTGGTTGGTTAGCTCTAGGAGTTTGATTACTCCCTTTCAAGGAGAAAATCTGACTTAAGGTACTACCAAAGTACTAATCTTTTTGATTCCTGAAAATGTCTTTCTCACTCCTGTCATTCCTTTGTGGATTGACATGATATTTTCTGTTTACATAGATGAGATCTTTTGAATTTATAGAAATTCATACTTGAAAACTTCTGTGATAAAGAACAAATATATTTGCATTTTCAAACATAAACTGACATGACCTTGATTCTGTTTTTGTTCTATTTACTGCAGAAGTCATCACTCTAATGTTTTTCTTAAGGAAGGAGTATAAGTCCTCAAGATGGGAAATAACAACACAAACAGTACAAGAGCAAACTGCACTGATCTTCAAATGCCATTTCAGTACTCCCTCTATGCAACCACCTATATCCTGATATTCATCCCTGGTCTTGTGGCCAACAGTGCAGCCTTGTGGGTCCTGTGCCGCTTCATCAGCAAGAAAAATAAAGCCATCATTTTTATGATCAACCTCTCTGTGGCTGACCTGGCTCATGTGCTGTCCTTACCCCTCCGGATTTACTATTACATCAACCACCACTGGCCTTTCCAGAGGGCGCTTTGTCTGTTGTGCTTCTACCTGAAGTATCTCAACATGTACGCCAGCATTTTCTTCCTGACGTGCATCAGCCTGCAGAGGTGCTTCTTTCTCCTCAAGCCATTCAGGGCCAGAAACTGGAAGCGTAGGTATGATGTGGGCATCAGTGCTGCCATCTGGGTCATCGTGGGGACTGCCTGTTTGCCACTTCCCATCCTGAGGAGTGCGAACTTAGCCAAGAACACCAAATTCTGCTTTGCTGATTTAGGGATTCACAACATTAGCATGGCTTCTTCCATTGGTATGGTAACTGCAGCTGAACTTGGAGGGTTTGTATTGCCTGTTATAATTATAACTTATTGCACCTGGAAAACAAGAAAATCTTTACAGGAATTCCAAGTTCCCCCTCAGAATACAAAAGAAAGGAAAAAAGCTTTGAGGATGGTCCTGATGTGTGCAGTGGTGTTCATTGTGTGTTTCACTCCTTACCATCTCAACTTCCCATTCTTTATGATGGTGAAGCAACATGTTTTTTCAAATTGTTCCTTCATTAAGAGCACTCTATGTTTCCACATCATTTCCCTGTGTCTTGCAAATCTGAATTGTTGTCTTGATCCAGTCGTATATTATTTTATGACTTCAGAATTTCGTGATCAATTTTCAGAACATGGAGGCTCGGTTCTTCAATCATGTGTGAGATGCAAGGACAATGCTTTGGAAATTCGTCAAAGGGAGGAGGATCTTCAAACTATCTCACTTGAATGTTTGGATGATTCCAAGACAATGTAGTCAAACAATCAGTTAGGGTCACCTATATGCTCTAGCAATTTAAGTATATCACTGTGAAGATTTTTCTTAAAAATGGTGTTTGAGTGTCTTCATGAAACATGGCACCCTTACCTACATCCTCAAAATGATCCTTCTGAAGGAATTATTCTTGCCTATATTATCTGTCTAAATGAAAACATTTTGTTCTATGGACCTTGTGAGAAAATCTTTCTTTACACAAATTGATGAGCAGCTGAATAAGTTGCATACCTGTTTCTCAGCAATGGGTCCAATTTATTCACCTTCTCTTGAGAGAAACAAAATATAAGTTGAAAACAAGTGAATATGGGTTAATTATTCAAACTTTGAAAAGTATACATGAGAACAATATGGCCTTAACTTTTTTTTAGGAATAATACACTACTTGAGCAAGGTAGATGGAAGAGGAAAAGCTTTTTGATATTAGTATTAATTATAGGAAATAATATCCTTATAACTTGAAATATCTGTGAGACTTTTTTCTCCTTGGAGAAACAAATCAGAAGCACCCCAAATATCTCAGAAGTGTCATGGGATTCACCCACAACACGTATACATTAAACACAAAATTGTGTTTTAATACATTTTGCAAACTTGAGTTTTAAGGTTTAAAATAAAGGTTCTTTGCTTGAATATCTGCTGAGTGCATGTAATGTGATGCATGTTTTTATATACTGGCACTAATTCAGAAAATATTTTATTATATTTGTTAATTAAAACTATCTGTACCATTTTCTATCTAGATTGATTATTCCATACACAACCTCAATCACAACTTTACTTGATACATTTGTTTAAAATAATGAGTTAATGAAGAATTCCAGGCATTTGTACAGTTTTTTTGACTGTTAAAATCTGTTTGGACCCCATTCTTCACAGATAAAGATATATTGATGATTTGAATATTATCCTAAATACAGAATGAAAATTTGCCATTAAAAACTCTATTTACATCATTTTATAATACAAATTATTTCCACTGGAAAATTAACAAACAAAATCTATACCTTGGTCTTCATTAAAATGGCATTTTAAAAAGCAATTGATGCCTAGTGTGGTGGTGCACACCTGTAATGCCAGTGGCTAGGGAGGCTAAGGCATAAAGATCACGACTTCAAAGTTAGCCTCATCAACTTAGTGAGGCCTTGTCTCTAAATAAAATATAAAAATGGTCTGGGGATGTGGCTCAGTGGTTAAGTACCCATGAGTTCAATCCCTGGTATCAAAACTAACTAACTAAATAAATAAATAAATAATAGTTGTTGATCTTATAATATTAAAAAGCATTTTTGGTTTTGCCTTTATAAGACTGGAAATTCACATGATGTTTTATTTGTGTGAATTGTTTGTAATGATAGCTTATCCAAACAAAACAGCTAATATTTACAACAGGGCATGAAAATAAGGTAAAACCTAGGTTTTCTGAAATCTGCAAAAGATCTGTATTTTGGACAGTTGTACTCTGTAGAAATGATCATGTAGCTCTCTAAATACCTAAACATTTAAAACATCATGTTAGTTGCAAATATATCTAAAATACAATTTTTCTTATGGGTGAAGCAGTTTGTGTCAACCAAAGGAACGTGGTATATGAAAGAAGCACTAATTCAGATTCATAGGATAAGTATTCCAGTTTAGTTTGGCCACTGTTAAGCTATGTGATTTGGGGCAAGTTAATTCTCTTTAAGTTTCAGTTTTATTATCTGTACATAATGGCAGCTGCACTAGATGTGACTGGTGTGCAGCATAATTTTTAGAAAGTGCTTAAATCACTTTATAAATGTTTGCTGTTATTGTCAGTAGTATTATTATTGTTATTTAAGAAAGGTTACTACTTAATGCATGTTTTCAGGATCACTGAGGGTCATTATTACAAACATCAGTAGTGTATGGTATATGTTTCTTTGCTCAGGGTTATTAAAACCACTAGCTTTGTTTTCACCTACATTAGAATGGCCCCATTTTTTTCATTTCTTATTCTTTTTGATTATGTCTATAATACTTATATTTCTACCTTTTCCAGCTATCAGTTCTCACTTATCATTGTCAGTAGGCCTGTCTTAAGCAGTCCCTATCATTTTGATTAGGTCTTTCTAATCTTTTGTGGCTTTGCAAATGCACTACCAAGTTAGTTAAAATAGAGCTTTGACTTACTAAAAATGAGTAAAAGCCTGCTTGTTTTATTTTATTTGGATAGGATGTGTGTTGAAAAGGGAAACTCTCCTATGGAACAAAATGTATGGGTTTTAGTTTATGGACTTTATGACATCTATTTTGGCAATTCAGGACTATTTTGCTTCCTTCCTGGCTCTGTCAGCTGTGTTTAGATAGGTAAGGCTGCCAGATATTTGAGCTCTGGATCTCCAACATATGACTAGCTATTTTTGACACCTAGAGTTTCTTGGAATATAAATATTGCCATATACATGTGATTAAGTTTCCAAAATCATTACTTGTTTCATCAAAAAAATAGTATATTCAAAACTACTTAATTGCTTTAAGTGAAGTTATTTTCTATTTTCCATAATGCTCTTAAGAAAACATGTGCTCACTCTAGCCATTGCTTCCTTCCTCTTTAAGGGCACTTTGTAGAAATTCCCCCATGTATTTCAAGTCCTATTTGAGAAAAAATAATCCATTTTTGGAAATTGTCCTGTTTTATCATGAATAATGAACAATATCCATTAAGTTTGGAGAAGCACAACAAACTACATTAACAACTCTCTCATATCTATCAGAATTCTCAAATTTACTCTTGCTTTTAGAAGAGGGGATATAATTTTGATCCAATACTTCTGGGACCAGATTAATAGCCGAGACTATATCTCTATTACTTCTGGTTCCCCAAAACACTGGTGAGAAGGAGTTTTAATAATGGTATGATTGTCTTCTGCAACTGATTGATACTAGTAAGACTTAATACCCTTTCTTACCTGTGTAATCTTGAAAAAGACACTTTATGGCTTTGAAGTTGTTTTCTCATCTGTAATATGGTGATAATATCTGCCCTTTCTGCTTCACAAGACTGTTATGAAGCTCTAATAAGATATCATTAGATAAATTTTTTAAAAAATATTTTTCTTTCAAAAATTTGTAAAAATGATTATATAAACATAAGCACAAAGGGAGAGGTAGTATTAACAATGGGATCAGGGAAAGGAGATAGTTTTCTACTTAACTCTTAACAACACAGAGGATATTAACAAAGATTTAAACAATCCATTAGCACCATGGAAATATGAAGGCTTAAAGTAGTTCCCAGGATTGGAACATCATTGGCTGAGACCATTTGAGGGTAACAGAAGGAACCATTTACTGAGGACCCTACCCTGAGTTACTTAGGTCCAGTATTCCTGAAGTGAGAGTTATGATTAGTGTCAAGTATCTCTAAGGAATTTAAGTATCAGAGGCTGATGATAGCTTTAAGGAAACAATAAATATCCTATAATGCCCAGTCACTCATCTCAGGGAATAAATTATATAGATGGGAAGCAATGCCTCCAGAACTTTGGGAAGGAATGAATTTGAGAGAAATATAGAGGAACTTACTATTGTAAAGAGAAGAGATGAGGGCAGGACTATGTTACTTACTAGAGGTTTTGAGACATGGATAGATTTTCTAAGGGGCCTTTAAAGTTTCAAAGTACTTCATTCTTTTCAATATAGTCCCTTTAACTTCTGGTGTGCTTAAACACATTGGATAATGAAATATGCATAAATATAAAATATGTAAACCTCAAAGTCTCTTAAAAAATCATTGAACATGCATACTCATGGCTTTGCTCATACTCTTTCTCTGTCATCTTTATTCTTCCTCATTGTCTATCCACTGTTAGAAATCATTTAAGATTCAGTTTAAATTCTATTTCACTGTAAAACTACATCATCTCCCTTATACTATGAATTCCTTGAGGGTACACACCATTTCGTTTACTGTGTAGCATGTTGAATTTGAACATAATTTCTTATAGGGAAAACTTCTGTAATTAGTTTGGTTAATTAAGATTTGCATATTTCTTTTTCTAAGGGAAATTGAATTCTAAAATAAACTGAGAGTCTATTAGGAATGAAAATATAATTCATTCAATTCTCTCAGCACCATGAAAATGAAAGAGACTCAATACATGCCTTTTTAGGTGTTTTAAAAGAAAATATATAGGGATTGATTAGATATATAGAATATTATTCCCTATAGAGGTGACATTTAAAAATACCACAAAGTTTATGTACTCATTTCCTTGGCCTTTATTTACCTTGACAACCATTAGGAGCTAGGGACCTAAAAAGGGATTATTACTATGAACACCTGACATTGGAGTCATTAATTCTTGGCAGATTAGTTGAATTTGTTGAGTAAAAATAAAGCCAAAGTCTGGCTACCTCTGTTTATTAAATAACTATTACATTAGACTCTGACTTCTGTGATTCTATAAAATATGTTTGCCATTTGTGCTTTAAAAACGTTTCTGAAAGTTTGCTTCATTTTTGCTTTGATAGTGTGGTTGTCATTATTAGCAAAGGATCATTTTTCTTTCTTTTCTCGGTAGGAAAGTAGAAGGAGTTGATGTAGAATACAGTATCTCTCAAAATCAATTACTTTCTTCTTCTTTCATCTGTGTTTCCCGTTCTTTTATTTCCAGTGACTGCAATAAACTTCTGATAAAATCATATTTGTGTGAATTCTATCCACATTGTTTATAGTACTACCTTTATGTATATCATCATGTAGCGAGGAAGCCTGTTCCTGTTCTTGCCTTCACTCAACAACAATTCTAGTTTGCCCTTGTGAGCTGCCTTTATTTCTTTTGAGATATTATTTCCCTTGACTGCTGGTGGCTGTCTGGATATATTCTTATTGGACTTCAGTGACTTTGTCTAACCCAAAGATCAACAAGAATGCTACTGTCTTGATCATATTCAAGGCCCCAATATTTGTGAAACTCTGTTAATTGAAGAGCAATAATGGAAGAGGACAAAAAGACCACATATAGCATGTTAACAGAATGGAAGTGCTCATACAAGGAAAACTTAATATTTGTTATTGGTTAATAGTGTGGTGTCCTATAGGTAGTTGTTATTATATGGGCCTAAATGGCACTTAGTATCACCTCTCATTTCCTCACCTCAGCACAATTCCTTTGTCATCTGCTGACAATGATGAGGAGAACCCAGAA